CACCCACCTCAGGCCCAACCATGGTGGGGCAGAGGTGGTTGTGGACACACTGCTTTGAAGTAGGTAAAGTAAAAACATCAAAGAGAATGTTTTTAAGTTATATTTTCTATGGTTCATCACACATACTATGATCTCTATGGTTGCCGAAAATCGCCGATTAAAAAAAAATCATGAAAATTTGTTGCCGCTTCATTTTGACTATATAATGATAGGCCTATAGTGATGAGATAATGATGAATTTTACTATTATAAATGTAATTTTCAGCCATCTACAGGTACTATTTCTTCAAATTTTTGCACGCACCCCAAATCCTGCATCCGCCCCAGGCAAGTGGCGGCTCCAGATATTTTCCCACATTGGTCCAATAAGACTGACCCTCAGTGAGGTTCAATCAAATACCTTGTGGGTTAGTGATTTATGTTTGCGCGACGGGAGAAACCCCCCCCCCAATGATTCCTCCCGCTGGTGCCGCCACTTGAGCCAGGCCACCAGCCAATGACCTAATATTGTCAGGGTTCCGGAGTAAACCCAGGGGCACAGCTAGAATAAAATCGGAGGATGTCAAGCCTTGCGAGCAGAGAGCAACTACTTTGAGTACAGTTTGATAATCCCCTATATATACATACATACATACATAATATTTATTTGGCATCAAAAAGACATGTTACAGTATTGCCAGGAAAAAATGGGCATAAACCCGAACAAGAAAAACTTGCACTCTTATCCAACATCTTAACTACAAATTAACAGCTCAAATTAAAAATATCAAATTAACAAAAAAAAAATTACCTTCAACCAATCAACTGCAAAAACAGTAACAAAGAACAGAAATAAACAAAGAAAATGTAAAGGAGGGAAAAACAAAAAGCAACAAAAAAGAGGATATTATTGATCCATAAACAATCAACTAATACATTGAAAGGAAGTGTTTTGTAAGGGCTGATCTGAAACTTCCAATTGATGTTGATTGTTGAATATCCACAGGAATTTCTTCCCATAGTCTTGGAAATGCAACAAATGCAGAATTAGATATTACCTTTGCATTCCAATGGATACATACATATATATATATATCAAAGTAGATCGTATCTTCATCATAGGCAAAGCCTTATTTAATCCAATAAGTTATGGCCTAATTCGGCAGTCTACTACCATCGTCAGTTATCTATTGCCCGCAGGCAATCATTAATATAGGGGAGTAAAAATTCAATGTTATGCATGCTAAAAAATTGTGGAATGAACCGTAACAGTACTACAAAGCAAAATATAAATAAAGATGAGGTAAAATCAGAGTGCAGTATTTATGCCATAAAGGGGAGAATGGAATGAATTTAGAATGACAAAGATAAATTAACATGAAGAAGCTGTTTGTTCAGTGAGGGCTGCTCCCACTGAATATGTAAGGCTTCTTTGATTTTTAGAGTTTGGGTTGTAGAGGCGGAGTCCAGTAACGTGAAACAGTCCTCATTGGCTGATTGTTTACAATGGCGTGAACTTTTCAGATGCTTTAATATATGCGAGTTCCCATACAGTGTTAGGGGCTCAGGCATGCGTGTAGAGAAATGTCGGCTTGTTCCGATATATATATCGCGTTGAAGCGAATTTAGTTAAAGCGTGCGAAATGGATCATTGTAAAATAAGGGTATCTTCTTTGTGTGAGGGTAGAAAAAGTACGGTAGTAGGTGCAAGCTCATAATATTTTATAATAAAAAAAAGTTAATATTAATATTTTATTTCAGTAGATATACATTTTTTTAACAGTGCACAAATTGACCTATTACATGCGCTTCTACCACAACACTTAACATAACCCATTGAAAACGGCGTGGTCTGATTATCAGACCTGGAACCGGAGCTCATCCGCCGAGGTGAATCTATGGGCCTAGCAGAATATCGTCATTTATATACTGTCTTAACTACCATATTTGTTATGTAAATACTTTACAAATATATCTATACGTTCACCTACACATGTAAAAACTAAAAATCAAAATAATATTTAAAGATAAGCAAATAACATTCTAAATTTTAACTCCAAAGTAAAGCCACTTCTGCTTGAAAATACGGTCGAATATTCGCTCGCTGTTCTTAAGCTGACTTGCTATTGGTTGATTCTTACAAAAATAAAAAGTCCGACGTCATTTATTAACCAATCAAATTGTTTTTTTACATAGGCCATATCAACGGTGCTGCTATTAAAAACTTCGAGCGATTCGCCACATTTCTACTAAAACCGTAGGTTTTACACTGGAAAATATGATAAACCACGGTTACAAAATTAAAAAGTCCGACGAGATTTGGCAACCTTTATGGATTGAAATTAAGATTACTAAAACTATTATTAAATTTGGAATAGGATAAAAAAAACAATGGCGAAAATCGGAAAAGTAGAAGTGAAGTTATTAAGAGAAGTGCGAAAAAATAGCGATAATAGCTGAAAATCGGACGTTTCGAATTAAATTAAATGAATTAGTGATAATCAAACTTATCTTAAAGCCAGTTTTCCCAGGGAACAGTTAACTGGTTTTCCACTAGGCGAATTTACAGAGTAAAAAATTATTTAAAAATAGCTTATCATAGCGAAATCGATGTCTTACATGTACCTCTGACGAAGACGCACGTCATATCATTTCTTAATTAAATTCATAAACGATTTAAAATTCAAATTGCAATCCATTTTATTTTACAGGGAGTGGAAGCATGGTAACAAACGTAGATGTTGAGCCATGTCCGTCAGAGCCATGCCAGATTAAACGAGGATCATTAGTTGCATTGAAAGTTACATTCAAAGAATGTAAGTGTTATGCGCCATTTCTGTGTGTGTGCCCACAGTTTGAAAATTCTGTGCGTTTTCTTGCAGTCTGCACACTGCACAGCCATACTCTGATACAGCAGCAAGTACAACTTACTGGATGGAACTATACCGTATAATAGTCTCTCTTGAAGGCTTAGTGAGTGAGTAGTTTTCAGTCATGAGAAAAGCAGGGACCGTACCTTGGCATTGGATTGGAATGCAAGCATCTTAACCACCAAGCTGAAACATGCAGGCAGTATTTCATATTTCAAATAACGGTAGCCTGTTCACTGAAATACCATGTTTACTATTATGTAATTAATACTATCTGTATTTTGCCGAAATCTATATATCAAAATATTAATACATAAAGATAGGAATACTTGATAAAAGTATTAATTTACGAGTTATAACTCGAATTTTTGCCTAAATTGTTGGGTTGCACCCTTGAAAATCTTCAGTAGGGGTTTTACCGGCTACTTATCTACTATACGTCTATTTGAAATTGATGTATAGATTTCAGTTTAATATAATGAGTGAAATATCGATCAGATGTTATATAACAATTCTAATGTCATTTCTCCGAAAGAAAGTGCTGTAGATGATTTGGATCTCTGTGTATTCTTATGACTTAATTATTACATCTCCCTCAGTAAGCAATGCAACGGATGTTAAATCTAAAGTGTACGGCTACATAGACCAAAAGAAGATTCAATTTCCTCTGGACAACCCCGATGCATGCACTAACTGTGGCCTAAAATGTCCGCTTACCGGTGACACGAGTTACGTCTTCAACTCAACACTTCCAGTTAAATCAATCTACCCTGCAGTAAGTTAAAACTTTGTGTACATCATTAAAGTGTCTCACATGAAAATAATCACTGTCATCGTTAATAATGATAACATTTTGGATTTTGGTTTGGTCTTTCTCGCAAGTTCGAAAAAGGTAAAATATTATTTTATTATAAGGAAAGACACCGTAACTGTGCAATAATCAATACGATATTTACATCTAACTTTAGCATATTTTATATCACGGTAATTTTTTACATGAGACGGTATTATTGCAGGACTAAATCTGAATTACAAAACTGAGTTGTTAAATAGTATTCAAATACAAGAGAACACGGAAAACAGGATCAAAATCACATCAAAGCTGTGGAAATAAGGACGTACAGCAATAATAATAATAATAATAATAATAATAATAATAATAATAATAATAATAATAATAATAATAATATTAATAATATGATAATGATACACCAATGATAAAATAAAGGAAAATCAGGAAATATGATTACATGGAGGAAGAAGCAAGCCCTGAAAATGTTAAATTGTATTTTCTTTTTACTTGTTTTGTAGATTGAGCTGGTAGCGGAGTGGCAACTTGTTGACAACAATTCGAAAGAACAGTTCTGCTTCCAAGTTCCTCTTAAAATTGTCTAAATTTTTCAAAAAGGAACTTCAGATTTTATTTTGATAATGAATTAAATCTGAAAGTTATTAATAATTTAACATGAAATGTGTATTAACTGGGCCATCTTTATCTCTTTATGCCACCGCAGTTTTTGTAAACTGTAGGGTAAGGGCCTCCCAAACTGGGCTTCATTTGATCTTGGTCTCATTAAAAGACGTTCATTTTTCTACGTAACAGAAAGAGAATGAACTGTAGTTCTTGCAGCTAAAATTATGATCATGGTCTCTGATAATCAGATTATAAATATGAAATAAAAGCAACTGACTGTATTAGCAAAATAATTTAAAGAACTAAGGATAATACTGTACTTTTTTTTAAAAGTAAAATAATAACAGTTTGTTGCACAGCAGACGTTGTAATTTTTTTCATACAGATTTTTTTGTTTCCATAAAGATGTGATATATTTTTGTCACTAATAAACAAGATGTTGACGCCAATCAAATACCGCGTAGTCATTGTGTTTTGTGTTGTCAGTAATTGTAAACATGATACCGTAAAACCTCGAATTGAAGCCCAATGGACTTAATCTCGAGAAGAAGCCCATCTCGAATTGAAGCCCCTCTCTTTAATTTGCAAATTTAGCCTCGAAAAGAAGCCTTTCAAGATAACATGCTTCTTTTCGATATAGTACAGTACATACATAAATGTATACCATAAATTTCAAAGAAACGAAAATAAATTAAAACACGCTTTTGTTTACACAGTAGTGTAGGCGATTCAATGCTCTGGTTAATATACACTCCATGATACAGATCGATGTACAATGGCCCTGTTTATTGTTTGATAGTACTAATTTCCAAAATGTACAGCATTCATCATTAAAGCCATTAAACTGTGCTCTGGATTTTAGTAACATATGCGTTGTGTGTAAACGGAATTTGGACAATTCTGTATTATATCATGATTTAGGAATGAAGAAAAATCATCGGTTGCTGCTTATAAATATTACATACAGTATTCAGAAAAGTACACTAATGGGGATTGGGAAGAAGGTACACTAATACGGAAAAAAAAAAAAATCTGCCTTCCCGTGCCGGGAATCGAACCCGGGCCGCGTGGGTGAAAACCACGAATCCTAACCACTAGACCACACGGGACTTGCTTGATTCACGATAGTTTTACAAAATAATCTAATTTAGCAAGTTGTATGTTACTTATTTTATTCGTTGATAGGTTAATTTTTCTTATAATATATATTATGCTTGTATATTAATATACTTAAAAGGACTGGCTATTTTTGAAAACGTTGATTTCGATTTTCTAGGAAATACGACAAAAGAGATACAATTCATTCAAGACAGTAGTATGTGTTAACCGGGATGTCAACATTGTGTTCATTGCGTTAACAGTAGGCGAACGAGCTTACAGTGAACAACTGAGTGGAAGTGGAAGTTTTAGTGTTGACGCTTTCGGCGTTTCTTCGACACACACCTTGCTTCACCGCGTTGGCTCGACCTGCAGTAACTTGTATGTTTATCAAAATGGCAGCCCCCATAGAAAGAAAGTCGGAACACACTGCAAGTGAACACAGTAAGTCTATGATAAGTTTATTTTATAAGATTAATCTATGATGCAATTAATTTATGATAATTTAGCTTTATGATAGTAAGTACTGTACTTACCGCTGTACTTACTTGTTACCGCTGGTTATGCCCCTCATGTCTATCGATTAATGATAGGCCTAGCCTAGGCCTAGGCCTAGCTATTTAGGCCTATATTAAGTTTAACATAACAGGGCCAGGGCAGGCTAGGCCTAGTCTAGTAATAGGTAGTAGGGCCTAACTAACTAGGCCTACCGACAGGCCTAGTTTAGCTAGCTAGGCCGTGGCGCCTACTTCTAATGTTAAACCTAAGCGCCCACTTCTACTTTTAAACCTAGGCCCTACTTGATTAATAGGCCTTTTCCACGAATCGGTAGACTCTTGAAGTAATGACAAACATTGCGAATCAGCGGTGCGTAACTAACAGAAATAAGATAAGTTTTTGTGCTGATTTTCTGACATCATGTTATTTAAAAAATCATAAAACTCCATAACGGGGCATCGTATCCAAAAAAATTTTCCAGCAAAATGTTCTTAAAAAAAGTCTACACCACTATATGATTAAAAAAAAATTGAAAAATGTTTTTCAATCATATAGTGGACTAGTCTTTAAAAACCATTTTGCTGGAAAAATTTTTGGATACGACACCCCGTTATGAAGTTATGATTTTTTAAATAACATGATGTCAGAAAATCAGCCCAAAAGCTTAACTTATTTCTGTTGGTAATGTTTGTCATCCCTACAAAGATGTCTACAGATTCGTGGAAAAGGCCTATTGGCAGAGTCCAAACGTCTGGATGTGTTGCCAGTGAGTGTGTGAACATGTGCGGTGCAGTGTGAAAGTGCTGCTTGCGGCTTCTTAGACCATACCCTGGACAAATGATCGGGCCCACACCTTCTAGACGATCGGGTTCATCTAGTGTGGGCTATCAGACCCACTTTTATTCTGAATTTTAGTAGAAAAAATACATATGCATTTTCTCTAATTATTATAAACCATAGAAAAATATTGGCATAAATTTTAGTTTTATACAAAAGGATAAAAAAAAATGATGAATAGACTCTTTTTCATAGGAGATTACCATTTTCTTGATGACTGTAGATCGCATTCACTGGAATGCTCTGGCTTTTGTGTATATTTTATACTGATGAGCAAAGGAGGTAGGCAGGCTAATTGTTTCGTAAACCCGCCGCATTCTTATCTTCTAAGTCATTCTTTTTGTCTCACCCACGAATGCCATGAATTCTCATGGTAAGATCTTTTTTTTTAATTCATCCCACAATTAAAACATTAATTAGTCTGTTTTACTGAACTGTTTACATCGTCGATATGATCGTGAGCGATAAATAAATTCAGCGGTGGCGTCAGTAATTTGCTGACAAGGGGTCTGACATGTCCGATGTAGGGGTCCGAACCAAGGCGACGACGAAGCCTCAGCTGACGTCCCGGAATGAAAAACTCCCTGTTCATGGGTTCATGGGGAGGTTTTTTTATTGCATAATTTAGTCCTAAAAGTGTTTTTTAGACCACAATTTTAGGGATTGGCATTAAATAATAATGTTATTTGGATTTTTTTTTTATATTTTTCCGACGACCTAGTCATTTGTCAGGCAACAGGGGGTCCAGGCCTGTCTGATGGGTGGACAAGTGCCCCTGCCCCCCGCTGGCGCCAACACTAAATAAAGTGCGCCCTCTCTACTGAGATCAGTGTTTTTACTTTGCATCTCGCACAATGCGGCTGATTGAGTAGGCCTGAGATATGTTTGTTTAATTGTCAAAATCTCGGTCAGAATCATTTTTTTTAGCAAATTTGAAATAATTCCAATGAAATATTATGTTTCACACAAGTGTCAATATTAGCAATAGAAAATATCATGGCAGCCTTTTTTATGTATGATAACAGAACCTAATTCGAGGTAAGACTAGGCCTAGCCTAGCAGTGTTGCTAGGCTAATGTTTTGGCCGCCTACTATTTTATTGCAAAATCAAACATAACAGATTCATTCGCATTTATTTTTTGTGTGGAACACAAAAAAAAAATCAAATTTCAGTCTTACATTTTTTTTTCATGTTTAGGAATGTCTAAATTGAGTTAAACTATCAATTCTGTATTATATTTATAAATCTTTATAACATATGAATATCAGATTTTTCTAAGAACTGAAATTTTGCTGGGAATGGGGCTTTAATTATTTTTAACAATAAAGAGAAAAGCCATATAAGCTGCATATACAGGCAACATTTTTTCCTCCAATTTAACCTCTGGTAATCTGTGAGAAATCTAGGGGTTCGATTCTTGATTAGTGTTACATTACCATATCTGCCACTGAAGACGTGTTAAAGAACTAACAATTACTCTTTGTTTCACCATATGTGAAGGTAGCCAAAAGAGAAAGAAAGATGGGTCATATATTAAGCATGGTAGAAAACCAGACAAAAGTGCTGTGAATGTGAATGAGAACTCTGCTATCATTGCAGCGTTCAGGTAAGCTAATTTAACATTTCAGTACAGTACTTGCATGTCTGCTAATTATTGTTTTCTTCAAATGTACTGTAGGTGTAGCATCTCTTGCCAAGCATGAAATTGATTTGAGTTGTCAAACTTCCAGTGGCATGTACCGTAAAACCTTGAGCAGAAGCCCTGGTCTTCCTTATTTTTTGCGACCTTTGGATGGGCTTATTTTCTACTACTACTTTTGCAAAGTAAAGAGGGTGGGGGGATTCTTTTCAAAATGAATGTTGTAAGTTTTGGGAATTACTATTAGAAAACAATAAATAGGGCCACTGTAACATCAGTTTGTATCATGGAGTGTATTTACCGTCATTAAGTCACCTAAACTATTGTATAAAGGAAGCATGTTTTTAATTTATAGTATCTTGTTTCTTTCAAAAAATGCATACTATGCATACTACTGTATTTGAGGCTACTTTTACACCTATACAGAGGCTACTTTTGCAAACTAAAAAGGGGGCTTCAATTCAAGATGGGCTTCTTCTCAGGAATAAGCCCACTGAGCTTCTATTAGAGGGTTTACAGTAACCCTACTGTAACCCACACTAAGGAGATTCGAAACACCCACTTCCAAACCCTCACCCTCGTACCATAGGTCCTTGATTGGCTTGCCTTTGTTCACCGCAACTTGGAATAATCTACGCAACAAAAATTTGCAATATTCTTGGAAGAATAAGTCAGCCTACATATCAAACTCTTCAAGTGTATGGCATCGTTTGTTAAAATACAAAACTCTTTGAGATTGTGTTTATGTAGTTAGTTTTCTTTTTAAAAGAAAATATGGATTTATTCAGTGTAAAAACCAAGGATGGCCCACAAAAGTCTGAAGAAGATTTATTCCCAGTTGGGTTCTTCTGGTTGTGATTGGGCTGTACACCAGGAGACAATACTCTACTCTTTTCCGAAGAGTGTACTGTGTTATGGGCCATAATGCACACAGGACCAACGACCTAAACGTCTCATCCAAAAGACGGTGCGCTATCGTAACTTGCATTCCAACCCTCCAGCTCAAATACAAGGAGAGCAGTGATGGGAATTGATCTGGTGACCAAGAGGTCTCCACGGTTCAGTGCACACACAATGGCTACCACCAGTTTAGCTGACTGAGCTAAGTTGCTCCTTATCAACGAAAATAAACACTTTTGTAGAGATTATAAATTTAAATTGAATTTAGTGTTGTTTTTCCTCAATTTTTATCCTGATGATGTCTAATGATTGAAAACATTTATATTGGGACATGTTTGACTTGTTTCATACATGATTTGCCATTTTAAATATTTTTGGTTGGCAAGTGTTTTTGTTACCAACTTCATTCTCAAGATAGTGTTTGGGTCAGAAGTTTGTGCAATATTTAATGTATTAGCCAATTTCCAGTAGGAAATATTTGGCACCAAGTAAAGGAAGTTGAGATGTGACTTGGTTGGCATGGCAGCGAATTTCTTTTTCCAATAAGATAGATAAGGCAAAAGTCATTAGAGGGTCCACTATACCCAAGTCTATGTTTGTGCAACAGAGACCACAAGATTTAGGCAAACATTGTGATCCCTCTTTTCCTACTACTACAATCAGAATGAAACAGAACTTGAGGGAATCCATATAAGTACATATGATGGACTTGGTAGCCAATCTAGAATTGATAATTCAAGGGATGTAGTTATGATGGACGGAGATAGGCAGGACCACCCAGCCTAGAGGTTTTCCACCCAGTCTATCTAAGGCTACGTTCAGACTTGGAGATAAACCAGGCTTGAGTTAAGCCCGGGCGTTCAGACTAGCGGGTTTAGCCAGGCGACAATTTGCATAATAATGAACCGTAACCGGGAAACGTGTTTCAAAACATTGTTCGCAAAACGTACACTCACTCACAGTGTACGTAATTGAATGCTGATTGGTATTTCGTCACCCGAAGTCAATGCAAGACCCCCCGCAACGATTAAAGCCGGCTTGAGGTAAGCCACCTAGTTCAGACTGGCAGGTTGATAAACCCGGTGAGTTGAGCCAGTTTTATCCACCTAGTCTGAACTAGGTTACTTTCATGGTGCTCCACCTACCTAAATATTAACCCCTTGCCCATCCTTAAAATCCACTCTTATTGGCTGTTTACCAATGTTATCACCCAGTCTACCACTCACCCTTATTTTTTTTGTACTACCCTGAGTCCAGCATTTTTACATTTATTACAAGGGAAATATTATTTATAGGCCTATATATATATATTTTTTTTTTGACAGTTCCCACCCTCATAACAATGGTTTAGCTCAATTTGCCTCTTAGCATTATGCAAAAACATTTGATTGTTCCAACCATTGAGCAATAACTGATAAAGCTGGAAATGGTTTGGCCCAATTACATCCACTGAGTTGCTAAACATCACAGGTGACTGGCAGATCAAATAATACCAAGTCGACAAGTTGAGAGTTGTAGCACTTGAAAAAACAACTCAGCCAGTTTACCCAAGGCTGGAGTTAAATTAGCAGAGCATCACCTGCTACTGTAGGAAAGTGGGCAAATGCAAATTCCTAATGTTATTTATTACATCTGTTGTGACATTTAAGTTAGTTAAAGTAAACACCACAATTGCTTTAAAGGAATAGACACTACCATGTGTCACATTTTGTCAGCATCAAAAAAATCAACTTACCATAAATGATTCAAAAAGCTCTTTCTCAATTAAGCACCAATCTTCAAAATGTTTCATTAAGCCCCGTTCTCGACTAAGAACATGAGACATGTATTATATTTTGAATAAACAGACAATAATTATAGCCTCACATTAAATCAGCATGAACTGTAGCTTGCTAATTTAATACTGTGGAGATATATAAGGCATGAAGCGCTATATATGTCTAACATATTATTATTATTATTATCATGCAGCTATATGATCTGTCAGTCACATAATTATGGCACACGCCCTCTTGATATTTCTGACCTGCTTGACAACAGATGAATAACCTTTGTCATAACATGCATGCTGAGTTTATACATTTTCACTACAATCAGAATATAATGTAATATAATAAACATTATACTGAATTATAGATTCTCATCAGCATCATTCCATCCTGTAAGTGGCGAGTGTACTTGCTGTTGGATGTGAAGGAAATAAAAAAAACAATAAAAAAGAAAAAAAATTAATAAAAGTAAAAAACCAAAATAAAAATTACAAGTTGAACTAAACTATTAAAACTGAATATAAATAAAGGCATCTTTTTTATACTTTTTAGTAGAAAGAGAATCAAAATTATTACAAATGTTGTCAGAAAGATTGTTCCAAAGATGAGCAACTCTGGCATGAAAAGTATGACATAGAGGATGTGGCTAATGCAAGCACAAAGATTTGTTTTAATTAATTTAAAAAAAACAACATTTTTTTAGAAGTTACCAGAAGGAGCTGGATGAAAAACATGATAAATACGAAAGGTTGGTGAAGCTTAGTCGTGACGTGACCATTGAAAGCAAGCGGGTCATTTTTTTACTCCACAGGATAAGTAGGTCAGTTGTTCTGCCTTATTTTCATAATTTAGTTGTTTATTTCATTATTTATTTATGTACTTTTCATTTACTGTATATATTTTTAATAATTTAATATTTATTATTTTCATTTATTTACTTTCATTCTTCTCATTAATCTGTCATTTCAGTTACACATACAAAACTGAAAAAAAGTATTTTAAACGTTTTAAATTGTCGTAAATCCTACGTTTTGCTTCTTTTCAAAATATTACTGGAATTTAAAATGTTCTTGTGTTTCCTTGTTTTGCAGTGAAGATACTTGTGAAGCAATCCTTAAAGAAGCAGATGAAAAAATCTGTCAGATTGGTAAAAAATTAAAGGGCATCGCTGTTGAGCTCGAAGGGGAGGATCCGTACCGCTTCCTACGTGCTTACACTAATGGACTACAGGAGTACATAGAGGCAATCTCTTTTTACGAATATATACTGAATAAGCAACTACTAACTATGAAAACTACAGAAGAGAAACTTACATTCAAGGTTCCAATAACAAAGGTAAATTAATAATAATGATAAATAATATTGTATCAATGTTTTATGTAGCTACAATAGGTCTTCGGGTATACTATACAAGCCAATCCCAGCCTCTCTTAAATACAAAATGCTATTGAGATAGGATACAAAAAGACTCAATTCAAAATACTAAATACGTCTAGCCTATAAGTACCATCTTTTGGAAATTAATATAAAAAGGGGAAAAAGGAAGGAAAGAAAAAGAAATTATTGATCACTCAAAATGCCTGTGAGGTTGTTTCCGGGGGTCTAGTAAACAAAAATTTCCCAGGATCATTCCCCCGGATTGCCCTAGGGTAGTGCTGCCTCCCAGTTGGCCCCCTTTTGACCGTTCTTTTGGGCATTTCTGGATCCGCCCCTGAGTTCAGTAGTTCTTAGAGAGTCTAGCCTAGAGTAGGCCTGACAAGAAGCCTAATAAAATTCATGACTTCCTTGATACTATTAAATAATACTATAAAAAGTACAACCATATTCTTCAATGACTTTATTTGTTTGAATTTGTCAGGAAGAAACCAGTGAAAAAGACAAAAATCAGAAACAAACTGAAGCGGTTGAAACCAGACAAATCCAGTTACAGCTTCCCCCAGTAGAGTATGTTTTAGGACTTGCTGACCTAACGGGAGAACTCATGAGGTACTGTATAAATAGTATTGGCCATGGAAACATAAAAAAACCATTTGAACTAGTGTCCTTCATGCGAGAGATATACGAGGGCTTCTCACTGTGCTCTGCTTCAGCTTCTCGTGAGTTAAAACAGAAGATGGAAACGATGAGACGAAGTTTAAGGAAAGTTGAGAATACATGTTATACGCTACAAGTGCGCGGCTCTGAGATACCAAAACACATGTTAATGGATGCTATCACTGCAGAGCCCCAAACTGAAGAAGCAGCTCTTTGATGATGTCAAGTCAGTTTTTTGAGCCAAAGTATAATGTTAATGTTAAGGGGTGAGGACAACTTATTGTAGTGCTGTTCCCCATGTGCAGTGTTGACTACTCAACCTGAAGATGGCATCCACTTCAGTGGGGCACACACATTATTGTACAATTGGCTGACAAATCCATCTGAACTTTCTTTGAGTGCTAGATGATGTGCTACAATGGCTGATTGTTGGTGGCAGACTGAGAAAATTTTCATTGCGAAAGATCTGTTTGTTGCTTTACATTCTCTGTGAAATTACGTCAACTGTTGACTGTAGTGTGTGCCCCCAGCTTTATGGTGTGAAGAGATTTTACACCGGTTTAGCAACTGCACTGCACACCAAACTGGTAAATATTCTGTTGTGTTTTTTTTTTTTTATATCATTTTGGAAAAAATAAAGAAAGAATACAACAAAAGTTCTGTGTTAAAGTTATTTATTCTGTTGTTTTGCCTGTTTTATGAGATTTCACACCGAATCTGAAGTTTCAGAACAGAAAGCCTACCAAACCAATCAGAAAATCGGATCAGTACGTAAGAATAAGGACACTGACGTTCAGCTTATAGGAAATGTGGTCCAAATTCAAATCCAATGTGAAAAACAGCTTTAGGTTGAGTAAGGGGTCATTCACAAGTATCAACATTTTTGCAAGTGTACAATCAGTAGTCTTTTTCAGTACCCCTCCCTCCACTCTGAAAGTGTACATAAGAAATGTTGGTTTTGCAAAACCATTCTTCATTTTTTTGTGAAGTCAACTAATGTATTGTATTTTGTTGCATAACAATGTCTACTATATCCACGGTTGCATTATAATTTGTCATAAAAATCTATTATTAAATATTGCATGTTATTTTGAATCAGCATTTTCATGTACATTCCCCTTAGCATACTGTTTGCACACTTGTGAAAATGTTGGTAATTGTGACCCCTTAACAAAATTTTTATAAAAAATAAAAATATGCTGTACTGCCAGTAAAAAGATAACTGAAATACTTTTTGTAGCATAATGGTAAATCTTTGATTTCAAAGTAAACACCAGCAGTGATTTGTCAACGGATTCTGTGAATGACGGCCATGTATCTTCCGAAGAAGAGAGCCACTACAACAGTAACAGTACTGATGATGTCACATGGGCCTGCCTCCCCCTCCCTGCTGCAGTGAATTCAACCACTCCTCTGTATGTAGTAATCTACATTCTGAATTTCAGCAGTTTTTAAGTTTAATTCTCTGACTGGAAGGTTCAGAAGCTTTGGCCCAGTTTTCAGCCTGTGAGATTTAAATCAAATTGGACCCAAGACAGTTGCAGCACTGATAGGCACCCAAGTACATTGCCCTTCATTTTGATTTAGTGTTTTATTTTTTCATTACCGTGATCGGTGGTTTGGATGCAGACTTGCCACAAGTCTCTTACTATTTTTGTTCTAATTCCGGATAGCGCCACCAACGATAAAGTTAATTTAGATCAATTTAGAGGCTGATTATCGAGTATGGGACGCCGATTAAATTAGGTATGGCGCGCACCTAAGCACAATACAGAGTGATTAACCCAAAATTACGGCCTGGAACCCAGACTATGCATTAACTATTGTGATTGGACACACACATTCTCAGCATTGCTTATTATTAGTACAGCTTATTATTTTGATTATTGTTACTACTACTACTATGCAAATGTGAAAATGGAATGAAATGTTGATATCACTTCGTGTGATTATTTCAATTTCACAAAAGGAATGAAAAATTGAAAAGAAACAAGAGTTCTAAGACTAGTGTTTTATTGCTGACTCTACAGTGGTAACATGTAACAAAAAAAGAATCCAGTAGGCTGGATGAGGAGAGTGCATTACGTCTCCTACCAACACAGTATTTAGATTGTGCCAACATTCTTTGATTGTACCTCCTTCTTTGGACATACTATCATCAACATGAGATTATTATGTAGCCTACGCTTCATGCGGAGGTATATCATTATTCGCAACTTTTGTCACACAATTGTTTGCACGGATCAATCGGCGTTTAATTACACTGATTCGGGGCACAATGCTATCAGAGTAGTCCCTCCCATATTATGTATGGACATTACAATAATTGTGATTAATATTGCACACACACGCACACTACACTTCAATCATACATATTAATTTTTTTTTTAAACCTCGAAAAGATTTTGTCAAATTTACACGACTGCTCTAGATACCTTTATAGAAATTCTTGTTTTTCAGTCCATGGGGGTCCTTGTGGTTGTGCTTCAATTTTCTGTTTCAAATCAGGGCCCCTTCGGTGAGAAAAAATTCACAATTTGTCGAGGGGAAAAATATTGATTGTGTTTTCTACAAATTACCAGTAGTAATCTCTAAAATCGATTAAAATAGTCTTTGAATCCCCTAAATTTTCATATTCTTTTCAGAGGTTTCGCCCCTGGACCACTTTCCAAAGATTTTGAGCGTTGCCCGACCACCCCCACTTTCCACGTCGGGCAAATCCGCTGCTCTGTTTTATAATATTTTATTGAATTATCTCAAATTATATTAAACATCATTTACATCCGTGATTCTGTCTTGTGAAGTTGGTTTGCAGTGAAAAATTTAAACATTTCATATTTCATAGATACAATGTTCAACATCATTAACGTAAAATATAGGTGGAGGTTACGTCACATAAGTACTCTGGTAGACGCGAGCGTCTGTCGCCATGAAACGTTTACTTGGGGATGAGGTCATCAATAGATTCTCCCTTCTCCAATTTCTTCTCCATGTCGATAATCGTCTGGACGCCGTTAATGACACATTGTACTTGCTGTACCTCTGAGCTACCCAGACGATCCAGGTTGGAAATATCGTACACGCCTCCAACAGACTCTGTGAATTCTCCGCCTGATAAAAACAATTTATTAAATAGTTAAAAATATAAATTAAAAATTGTATGTCACGCACACTAGACATAAAAACACATTTTACGCAGCTAGTATTAACATCATTTTTGTGTGTTTTATTATTCTTATTATTAAGTGCATGGGATTACGACTGACGATAAACTTACTTGTTCCACGTTTCTGCAACCTCATCTTTGTACAGATGGATTCGAATCGGCTGTCTTTTGCCAGACATGGTACCTTCACGTGAACACTGCATCGTACACCTGTACCCAAGTTGGATGGGCAGGTCAAGATGAAGCCCAAGTGCTTGTTCCACATAAAGCCTGTGCCCTTCGATTTGATGTGTTTCTCGACCTAGTGACGAAATATGAATGTGTAATTATTTAGACGTGCCAGACATAGATGACCTACATTTGGATTATTCAGTGTTTAACAAAAATTATGTATGTTGTGATAAGAAATCGAATAACAATGATCGTTATTGGCATTAGTTGATAATAGTGGTGACATGCGCAAAATCTAATGTAATCTTAACAATTTTAAGTTGCACAAAACAAGGATACTTTAGCCATTTAAATGGTTTGCACTGAATCTAGAAGAATTTGAATAAAACACACGGACACAAATGTGCAAATCGCTTGCAATTGAACTACTAATTTTAATATATTTGACATGCAGATTAGGACTTACTTCGGTTAGGCCAGTGCAGAAACGCTTGAAAACCCTCTTCATGTTACCACCCATCTCCATGGAGATGATTCTCGTGTGGTCTTCCTCGTTGATCCAGACAAGGAAATTCTTGACATCATTGTGCCTGTAATTCAAAAAAGAATACTGTATTGTGACCTGACTAAGCCAACGTGGTGGATGATGGCACTGTGGCAGGCAATTCGGAGAGTAGAAGACTATAAAAGTTTGAATTTTTGTTATTTCAGGGACAATTTGAAACAACGTTTGTCTTGTCAGGGTAAAGAAAGACGAGACATGATTTAGAAGTAATGGTGGATCATTTTAGTTGAGCAGGATTCATCTTCTTACAAAACTAGGCACTTAAAATATTATTTTGGCCTATTGTTGATTCACAATAAATTGCCAATGAATACATGATGTCGGAGCGTCCACCCCATAAATATGTTGTCTTACCAGATTCCACGACCATCAGGAAAGTCTCGGGCCATGCCGCCGCTGGTGAAGTGCCGAGATACTGGTCTGTCGAAGAGGAAGTGGTCATCAATAAGCTGCTGCTGGTCCTTCTCATTCAAGGTCAGTAGGGAATAGTACTTTCCTTTGAACTCGCCCCCCAGAGCATTAAGAGCTGCGGAGAGAAAGTGGATAATTATAAATTTAAGCAATAATACGTATTATGGACGATGAAACAGGTAACCATAATGCATTTTTAAAATGAAATGACCTGCCATGGCTAATTAAGTAGGCCTATTTGGATCTGAGGTAAGCATACTCCGAAGTAAATGTGTCTTCCTAGAGCCCTAAATTCACTATGGATTTACTCAGGGGGTAGAATTCACGTGGGCTGATCCAAAATCTATATATTGGAATTTTACTCGTAGAACTTCCATGCATATTGGCGTCCATTTAGCTTTACTCCACGTGCAGATCAACATTACTAATGATATTCAATAGCACTTCAAGTACTATAAACAAACTTGCCATAAGGCATAGGCCTATGTAATAATCACGTGACCATTTTCTAAATTATAATCTGTTCATCGTTATATATAATATTAGTGCCAATAGTGGTGATACATTGTTCGGTGTTATACTTCTCGGCGCCGTAAGTAATTTGTAAAGTGCTGTCACTTCAAAAAACTTATTGTAATATCATTGTAATTAGGAAAATGACGAGATTGGCATTTAGATGCCAATTGGTTACTGTAATGGAAAATTTCCTATCACGGATAGATATTGAAATTAAATGAATAGGCCTATATTGTAAGGAGGTGATATTACCATCGACAACGGTCTTCTCGATCCTTCGTCGTTCGGATCGGCAGACGAATGGAGAGAGACAGTAACCCTGGATGTTACGACCAGTACGGATACGGGAGCTGATAACGTATTTAGGGTCGAGTTCATCTGGTCCGGTCAGCTTGCTGGGGTCCAAGTCGGTAATATGGTTGTCTGTGAATAAAAGAAAACATTAATTTAGTGTTTAAATCAACTGAAACATCAGTATGACATACCTGTTCACATAGCTTTGTGAATTTGACGTATCTAAAATAATACAATGATCCCTAAAAGGAGAAACATCCGTGAGGGTACCCTGCCCAAAAATACGTAACACTGAATCAGTGGTGGTGGTAGTGGTGAGTATAGACGTTTTCCGCATTTTTTAAGGAAGATTCCCCCACCCCCCATACACCACACCCATATATTTAATCAACCGACATACAGGTTGTTTCAATTCCTGTTTAATAGCCATCGGCATACAGGACTTTTAAATGCGAACGATTTTGCAATTAGACATTGATAACTGCCATCTGCGTAATTATGAATGTTTAATTGAATTGTTAATCTGATTGTCGCGTATCCAGGTTATGGTTAAAAGATGAAGCCAAGCAGACGATCAATCTCATTACCAGAATCACTTCAGTAAGCTTAATGCACACTATGGTGCAGGACCATGGACCTAATCCAACTGGGTTTTGCCTGCAACATGGCGACGATATTATTTTATTGTACTCTACGGTATATCTTTGTTTTTTGTACCGTATACGAATTACCAATTTTCATTTTAGAAAAGAATTATTTGGATTAATCTTTTCATTACATATCGGTGAATCATTTCGAGGTATTATGTGCAATAAAGCGCAAACATGCGTACAAGTAATATTTTATGCTGAATAATGACGGGATTGTATTTTTTCATCGACCGAAGTTGCACGTTAATGTTGTGTTATAAGATCGGAAGACAGCTATAAAATTTTCTGCAAAACCATAATGAAGAAATGTAATGTGATACCATGCATCCCATTAGCATTGCCTAATAGGATGCATTAAAGATTTATGATATAGGTGGGCCTACCACAACACAAACAAATTATGCTCGTACTAATCCAGTGGCGGATCCAGGAATTCGAATAGATGTTGGGTTGGGTGTGAGGTATGGGTTGTTTGTCGTATGATCATCATCATTAAGATACAAGATGCACTTTTTCAACCAAGAATTTAAGGAATACCGATTGAAATGTATGTTTATACTTATTTATAATTACTTTATTTTATTTTTATGTATAAATGATATGCAATTTAACTACTAGCTGCGAATGTGATTTTTAATAAACTTGAACTTGATGTGCAGTATTAACGTCCATCAAAGAGTATATAACATACTCTTTGCTTCCATTCGAAACGTTAGCCTAGATAATAGACCTTTCCGGAGTGTCAATCAAACGTAACAACTGACCAATCAGAACAGTGCCAAAATACGCGCGTGTCCAACAAGCACACGCGTTGTCCCACAAACGCACGTGTTGCGTGTATGTTTCAACACTAGGCAGTTTTCGAAGCACGACGTTAACCTTAACGTTAACGGATGAAGTCATAATTTATTCATCTTGCGTTGCGGAATACGTTACTTTCAGGATTCGACGTACGTTAGTTACGGGTTTGCGCATGCGTATTTTGATTTGTTTACAAAAGGGGCGGAGCTTTCACGCTGCATGTTGGGTTAACGTCGTGCGGCGAAAACTACCTATTGCCGTCTTGTGGGACCTTAGCAACAATATACAAGAAGCGGTGCTTAGCGAAAAGGTCGGATCCATTATTTCGACCAAGAACACTATATTCCAATTGCCATTTGAATTTGTATAATATAAATACCTAACCCGGCATCTCGAGTTGCTCATTCATAATAATAACAGTATGCTAATTAAAATAATAAAAATGAGACTTTCACAGAACTCTCATGGCACATTGATCTGTCTGTGTACATATATAAATGGTTAACGACCTTTGGTGAGCGTGTCTCGGAAATTTATTTTTATCCAGAACCATATCGTTTAAGAACCATAGACGGATGGTGAGATTGGTTAACGACCTTTGGTGAACGTGTCTCGGAAATTTATTTTTATCCGGAACCATATCGTTTAAGAACCATAGACGGATGGTGAGATTTTAGAATCTATCAGGCTTCATGATTCTCTTTTGATTAAAGTAAAAAAAAATAGAAAAGATAAAGAAACGTGGAAAGATAAGGAAACAACGTTTAAAATGTGATATTTCAGAAAAATATAAGGAAGAACTAAAAAGTTACGGAAGCAACTGAAATCACTGAATTACAAAAATACAAAATCTCCTCTACAACTGACCAATCAGAACAGTGCCAAAATACGCGCGTGTCCAACAAGCACACGCGTTGTCCCACAAACGCACGTGTTGCGTGTATGTTTCAACCATGGTTTCAACACTAGGCAGTTTTCGAAGCACGACGTTAACCTTAACGTTAACGGATGAAGTCATAATTTATTCATCTTGCGTTGCGGAATACGTTACTTTCAGGATTCGACGTACGTTAGTTACGGGTTTGCGCATGCGTATTTTGATTTGTTTACAAAAGGGGCGGAGCTTTCACGCTGCATGTTGGGTTAACGTCGTGCGGCGAAAACTACCTATTGCCGTCTTGTGGGACCTTAGCAACAATATACAAGAAGCGGTGCTTAGCGAAAAGGTCGGATCCATTATTTCGACCAAGAACACTATATTCCAATTGCCATTTGAATTTGTATAATATAAATACCTAACCCGGCATCTCGAGATTTTTGTTTTTTTTTTGTTTCGTTTTTTACAACCAAATATGTGTTTACTCCTAAAAAAGTAGAAACATAAACACAAATGATACAACCATTTTGAATTCGCATCGCCTACCATCCAGCAAAATAGGCTGGCCTTGGCCCCTTAGCCTCGCCAAGGCTATTTCAACCTTATTTGCTCATAAAAAAATATTGTTTGTTGTAAAAAAAATTAATAAATGAAATGCCGACCCTTAATTTCGTAAAATTTGGGTCGGTCGGGCGTGGCCGACACAATAATTTTTTTTTTGGACCTGAATATAGATGATGAAATCTGATAACATGATCGCAAGTTATTTTAATACGTTTTTACAATGTTGCTTATTAGATTATAAGCATAAGTAATTGGAAACGATAAAGATAAGGACAACCGTGTGATTGTAACCATCTTTCCATTTTTATTCGACCCCTGACCTCGTCACCGTCTTCCGAATGGGAGGATGCAAATGAACGCATTTTAAATGGCTTGATGATGACGCGCGTAGTATTTGTTGAGAACTACCTACATTAGTAGGAATCTCATTATGTTGGAAATTTGAGAACTGTAAATTGTACGGTCGTGTTTTGATTGCGCCGTGAGGCGTAGTCACGAAAAATATAGCACTTTGCATTATCTTGTACTTCATAAATTATCCTAGTTACGATTGACATGGCAATTAAAATAGTATCCCAACAAAATTCATTGGCCTCTCTATCAACATATAAAATTATCATCAAGTCATATAATTATTAATAGCAATGAGTTCACTTTATCTATAATCATAGTATCATCATCGACGTCGTTGTGTTCATTATTGTTATTATCACCATCCTTATCATTATCACAATGAACATCATCATCATTATCATCAATAACATACTCCTCGCTAGCTTCCTACACTATCTAGGGCCTACGCCTTTTACTCATCAGCATAAATATCATCAGCATTATTAACATAATTATATCCCTTTATGAATGAAGATCGATGTAACACATTATGCTATTAATGTACTTTATCATATTGTCCAGTACTTGCAAAAATGATTTTTCAAGCCTAGGCCTAATAGTAGTTTGAAGAAGATGCCTTAGGTCAAATTGGCGATTTTTTGCGATACAATGTCAAAAAATATACTTAAATTAACATCAACCAAGCTAATTTTTTTATTTCGATGCGCATTACTACATGTTAATAATTCATTTGAATACATAAATAAAAACCTAATATAATATCTATTTTCTTCCAAAATAATAATCATCAGTTCGATTTCTAGTCCCACCACCAGCACACTCGACGTCACACGTGCAGTAACACAACGAATGACATTATTGCTACGGAAACTAAAAAGTCATGTGACCGGTGTTGCATTAACGATTTGCTGTTTGGTCATGTATTGAATAATCACGTTCAATTATATATCTACAATTTATGCTCAGCATTTATTAGTAAAAGACGGAGCCATTACCATAATTGAAACATGTGCGATTGCTTTTTGAAAATGGAAAAACATCTTGATATGTGTAAAAATACAAACTCTTTACCATTTTTGTTTTCCCATTCAAGCACTATTATTGTGAAATATATATATATATATATATATATATATATATATATTATTAAAGGCTAAAGTATTATTAATATAAGATAAAAACTTCCACAGGGACATATACTGTGCAAGTATCTATCTATCATATATGGATCCCTGACTAGTTTGACCACGTGCGATATTACTGCTATATATACAGTATCAAATTCGTGACGTCAGACACGTTAAAAGAACGAAGGGGATTCAGCTTCTACCGAACGCTTGAGTCACCACAGTGCCTTCGTGGTCAAGTGGTTATTACGTTCGCCATGAATGCGAAAAATCCTGTGTTCGAGTCCCGGTTGAGGTTGAGTTTTTTTTCTTTCTTTGTCAGGTTCCTATTCTGTTACGGTATGTTTTAATTTATATATCGGCCTATATAGGCCTATATTATATATATGTATATATATATATACATATTATATATAAATATATATATTATATATATAATAGTAATTGTGGATCCATTTATAATTATTAAGATGATCACATAGGTAATCAGGATATAGCCTATAATGTTCTCGTCGTAAATTGCTTAATTACATACTCGGCGCTCCTGCTAAAATATTGTTAAGTCGTTCGAACGATTTCCCTAAACGTAAGGACGTAGTGAAAGTGGGCAAACGAGATGTCAGTACAGTAATCAATAGTAAGCATCTTCTTGACTCTTCAAAGAAAGTGAATTTAGTTTTGAAGACATGGTGATTACGCCTTTGATTTTTTATTAATACGTTATTCAATATACACCATCTTAACTTACTACTCAAA